TCACACAGCGCGGATGAGTTGCAGCACATGACTAGTGCTCTGGCTTCGACAGCGGCCAAATTCGGGCTCACCATCAACACAAGCAAAACTGTCTGTATCTTTCAGCCTTCACCGGAGGTGCAATCTTCAATATTGCCGCAAATCAGCATTGGTGCTGAAGTATTGGAAACCACCTCCCGCTTCTGCAACCTTGGGAGTGTGATGTCGACTGATCAGCAGCTACACGTTGAGTTGCGTAATCGCGTGTCGAAGGCAGCGGCGGCATTCGGGAAGCTAGAGTACCGAGTGTGGAACAACCATCAGCTTAGCATTGGCACAAAGCTGATGGTGTACAAATCCATGGTACTGTCCGTTCTTCTATACGGCAGTGAAACGTGGACGATATACCGGTGGGATATGCGATATCTCGAGCGGTTCCATCAGCAGTGTCTGCGACGAATTTTGCGGATCGGTTGGGGCGCCAGAGTTGCAGACACGGAAGTGTTGCGCCGAAGTGGGATGTATGCAGTGGACTGCATACTTTTACTGCGACACTTGAGATGGCTCGGTCATGTGAGCCGTATGGATTCGACTCGGATACCGAAACAACTCTTATACGGTCAGCTGAGTATTGGGAAACGGCACGTGGGGAAACCAAAGTTACGTTACCAGGACATGATCAAAGTGAGCCTCACACGTTCTAATCTTGATTGCAGGTCATGGGAATCGAAAGCGGTTGATCGGCGTGCATGGCGCGATCTAATCACGAAGGCAGTTGCTGAGGTGCAGGAGAAAGACCTCATGCATGCAGAGAAGAAGCGGCAAGTGCGGAAGCGGCAAGCGCCGATGGATTGTATTCCATCGACATCGAGTGCATGGTGCTGTAGCACATGCGGTCGCGAGTGCCTTAGTCAGGCAGGCCTAGTGAGCCATGAGCGAGGCCACTCGGGACTACTACCGAAGCGCCGACGGGTTCTGCAGAGAACGTAGGCAGAACCGGCGCAGCGTTTGTAGGTACGCTGCATTCGATTTACTAACCGCGTGCTTGCATGCTAAGTCTCTTTATTTCAGGTGGTGAGTTTTCAATTTTGCCCTAATGCTTTTCTTTCCCATATGAATGCCTAGTTATACTCTCTTCTATACACTTGCACACGTCGCTTAAGCCACTTGTAGTTATTTCGATAACATTTTCGTTTTGTAGCATTTCCGTAAAATAAACCTCCTGACCTCATGAACTTACCTCGTATTCTTTTGTAAACGTATTCTTTTGTAAACAACTTATTTCATATGCTCACTAATTTAAGATTTATGTCACCGTTTGCTTGCGTGCTGTCTGTTTATTTCAGGTGGTGGGTTTTCAATTTTGTCCCAATGCTTTGCTTTCTCATATAAATGTCTACCTGTACTTTCTTCTATAAACTTGCACACGTCACTTAAGCCAATTCTTGTCCTTTTCGAAAACATTTTTGTGTTCGTGGCATTTCCGTAAAGTATACCTTCTGACCTCGTGAACTTATCTCGCATTCTTCTGTAAACAATTTACTTCAGATGCTCATTACTTTAAGTTATATGTCACCTTTTCCTTATGCATTACTCGATTTATTTTCTTTGTTATCTTTCTCTCAAGTGATTGGCTGTTGCTTGATATCCCAGGTGAGGCTGCGCTTGATGTGCATGTTGACAAGGTGCCTACCTGTCTATTACCCACTACCTCGTCCATACTGGCTCCAGGAGACAGTTGGTCGTTGCTGGAGGGGACAGGGTGCACGGTCCTTGTGGCCGTGTTAGGATCAAAGAGTGGTTCCATGCACTCAGTGTGGAGCAGACTACGGTCCAGCCACCGCCTTGTGTGCGCTTGATTCCGCGAATACAGCGTGTTTGTGTTTGCCTATGAAGGAGTGTGGGCCGGCTCCGTTGATGAAACGTGGCTCCCATCCACATGCTTCCCGGTCTTATTCCTTCGGGTTTACACTGGATATGGGGTGTGTGGTTGGAGCTGTGGGTGGTGCAGCGCAAGCCACCCATGGTCCCTCTGTAGGCGCAGGCGTCCTGTGGCTGGCCACAGTGACAGGCAAATCCGAAACCGGATGCCGCCAACCAAATATTCTGTCATAGGTTATTGCCTTGCAGTGGACCTCACCACCGTCCACACATAGGACGTAATCAAACTTATTAGCACAAATACACCGTAGAGCCTTGATAGCATTTCTAGCTTCGATATCCCATGGAGGATAAACCGACATGTCTTGTGTAAACATGCACATCTTACGCACAAAGGGGTCCAGTAGACCGTTGAACTGTTCATGAGTTCCTCGCTCAGGTAGCCAGACCACCTTACTTTTTGCCATTTTATTGCGCCGATTCTATTTCCGATTGTCTGGACGCATACCTTCTTGGGTTCCGTAGTGCGGATCAACTAGTCATGGGTAGTTACACACTGCTCCTGTCCCCAACTTTCGGACCCTTTTAGCCCACTTGGTCTTGTTAACACGCGGGTTCTGTTTTGGCTCATGTCTTATAGTCCATTGGGTCACATTATGGTCAGAACCAGCAAAGAATTCCCTAGATTCCATCAGCTTCATGGATCTCGCGGATGCCTGGTGTCATCATTATCATCGTCATTACACACGTTAGCTAGATGTGGCAAACATCTCAACTGTTCTGCAATATCGTACTATTATTCATCCTCGCTACATTGTGTGGCGCGATGCCGACTGGTAGTGCCGCAAGCAGGCTTATTATGTCCATAATAGTATGGGCAAAACTTCGCCACATTTAGACTCACTCAGACAGCCATCACACGCCCGGAAAAGCACTGTACGTGCGTTTCATCCTTTCGGGAATTGTCAGCAGTGCGCATTTCCTCAGACCATTGTATGGGTCGACCCCGCAACTCGAGTGTTGCCAGTCTGTGGTTGAGACCACTGAGCTACAGGGACGGCAACGAGTATGGTGAATAAGTTAATAGATGTGATATAGTGCCGATCACTATCCACTGACTTGCATGTTACTGCCTTGCAGAGAACAGGGCAACCCGACGTAGCTCATTGGTCTCAACCACGGACTGTCACCAGTCGATTTGGGGTTCGAGCCCTACCAGGGTCCGAAGGAATGCACACTGCTGACTAGTCCCGCAATTATGTAACGCGCGTACAATGCTTTTCTGGGCGTGTCATGGTTGTCTGTGTGAATCTAGATGTGACGAATTTCTAGCTATGCCATTCCACTCCCCCTATTACTTCTCTGTAATATCCGTAATAATAGAATGAAGCATGACACAGCACATTATGATGGCGTTGTCTGGTCGACAGCCAAGACAACCCAATTGTTACTAGAGGGGGAATTTTGGCACGTTTCCTGATAATGTTCATGAAAAATCGTAAGCTTACCACTCTGTGATCAGAGTCGACGCATGTGTTCCAGTACGGGTAACAGCATAGAATAGAATCACGTCACCTGGAATTTATAGTGATGTAATCTTTCAGGATCAATCACTGTCTATCTGTCGGAGGAGATCAGTTCACATGCCAGTATCCAGTGTGCTTGAAGGCAGTGCTGGTAAGCAACTGCCGGTGCTCGACGAACGGTTGCAGTAACCATTGACAATTACCAACCTAGCCGAGCTTCTGAGAAGCTCACACAACCCAATTGTGCGTCCATTTCCTTTTCAACTAGCTAGATATCTTAACTGGTGGTAGGAAGCTTTCTTGGTGGCATCTACCTTCTGTCAGTAGGAGCATAAGTGACAATCACAAAGAGGCGTCATTTAGAACTGCTACATGCGCTAATCTTAGTTGATGTTACCAATCGTGTTGCCTGCAAACGGCTGTCCAGAAACCCAGCCAACTAACTGTGATGCAGTCATGAAGTTATGAACTTCGCCAACAATCACTTGACCTGTGTTTGCCAGACTGGCATTTCAGGATGCGCACAGTCAATAACGAGAGGGAAGCCGGCTGCGGTTATTTCCATGACTACCGGAGGATCATTGATCTTCACGTCGACACTCGGAGTGTCCGATGTGCGTTCAGGTAAAGCCTGTTTGCTTATCTGTTGATACGTACAAATGTTGAACCTCGTAACGGTAACAGGGCAGCGCAACCTGTTAAAAAGTTATTGATACATCGAGTCCATTTGGTGTTATGGGAATGTAGCTTCAAATAGCAGAGCTTCAACGGTGCTTCTGCTATCGTCAGTTAAGCTGGAAATTATGCAACGAATGGGATGGAAAAGAAAAGGGACAGGAATCAGCGGTAACGTGTTTTCATTTGTCCACTCTGCTGGGTGCAGCAGATAAGGCAATCTTCTTAAAACTGCACGACGACCGATACAGGATGTGGTTGCAGTTTGATGAAGTAGTTATGATCATACGTAATCGTCCAAACACGAACAGAAGAACCATCAAGTCCCTCAACCAAAGTCTATATGACTTTGGGGCCTGACTGCGCGATAGTAAGGGGATGGCAACTATCCCTTTTTATGGAAATATGTGCCATCACAGCTTCAATTCCCTGTGAGATGGTTCCTCTGAGCTCCACCATTAACCAATTTGCTAGGTGTAGCTTTCAAGGGGCCACGAGAGCAAAACCCGTTTAACTCACTGGGTTGAGGAAATACACGGAACGACACATCATGTTTAGGTGCATTGTGATCACGGTGGGTCTTTGGTAGGTTATCAAACTGATTTTCAGTGAACTTCCTAATTATTATACTGAGCCATGCCGAGCTACTAGGCGGTTTCCTGCGGTCAGGTGGCAGTTGGCTCTTTTGGGTCCCTGAGAATCTCTTTGGAGCAAAGGTTGAGGATTGCTCATTTCTTCACTACTAATAGGCCGTTTTCATCTTCACTTGCTATTCCCTAAAACACTTTTAATATAGCTACACGGTGCAGCGCACTATGCCTCCAATCATAACTTGGTACTTATTTCTAATCTGAGGTGCAATCCGTAATACAGTTGGCTGTTTTATGCTAATCCTTGTTCCTTGTTCAGTTAATCCATCTTTTCGCCGCCCTAATTACAGCAACTATGACAAGTGTTAAACCACCTTGGTGCGTGTCTGAAGCTTCCGATTCTGTTCCCTCTCCCAGTTCGGATACGAAATTATGTTCTGCAGAAGCGGATGCGGCCGTGAAAGAAGTCGGTTTTGGTGTAAAGGAAATTCTACTAGCTGCAAAAGATTTACCATGCACTGATTCGCTTGCTTACATCAACTTGACTACATTAGAGGGGGAGTCCATGTGCGTGGAGGTTAGCTGTAAAGGCTTCGCTCCTGTTGGCGAGAGGTAAGTTTTCGACTTCACTTGCACTATTAGTCAACTACTCTCAGGGTTTGCTCTCTCCGCACGACATTATCCTGGATTTCTTAGTTCTCTACTTATTATTTCTGCTCGGGGGCTACAGTTCATGTCTTCATTCCCGTGGACCAGCATCTAGATGGATGCCGCCCACACGGTCACACCGGAAACAATCTATCCAATCTTTTCCGTTTACACACACTCAATTCCACCTTTTAATATCGTTCTGTCTGCTTTCTGTTAGAGGGCTGATTGTACGGCCGGAGTGTTAGTATTATATGCCTTATTCCTAGCTGTTTCTACGTCGAAAGTCATTAGGTAAACAATGCACTTGTCCTTCTAATTTTGCAGGTTGGGCTTCATCAACTAAGATTGGGTTTTAATAAAGCCTAAGCTTGCCGGAAGCAAATACTTAACAGCACCCGCCCTCCGCCCGATGCATTAATCCTAACAATGGTTCTTCCTTGAAAATCTCAACACTTCAACTCCAGTGACAGTACTGGGCTTTCGACTGTTGCAACAATTGGAAACCTTGTGTGTTCTTTAACCACCTCATCAACGCAAAAAGAGGATATTTCGATTGTTCTCATCAGTCACGAGCACAATATCTACAGGATAAATGCTTTTACGGATGTACAACGTTCATGAACAAAACGCAGTCAAGTTATCAAGACTGCTGTAGTCTTACTGACCGCTTTACTTGTTTCAATGCGTATGGCGCCAGACAATTTCTCGTTATTAACATTGTCTCGCCAACCGTCCCCGTAGTTTTAAGGATCACAAGCCTGCCTTATAATCCGAACGCGAGGGTTCGTGCATACGCAAGGATCGGCCAATCATCGCAGTATCCTTAGCCCACGTGCGACTGACGGCGAAGCGTCGGTACTGCGTACCTGCATACGGCTGATGCCTTGACCTCGCTAACCGTACCGGATACCCATTATCCGGGAAAAGGTAAGAACAAAGAAAAACCCATTACTTTAGCAATTAGTTGATTATCTTCCATCGGGCATTGATTTCAAAGATTCCGGAACCTCCCATTCCTTCACGCGATTTTCAGCATACGGAGTTTTGGCAGTGAGGCTGCTAATTTTATCAGTTAACCTTCATTTTCTAGAAGTTGAAGGTCATTGAGCCCCCTATTTATTTGGCCTAGGTCTGTAGCAGTTTGTACGGCGTTATGGCTACCTTTGGCAGCTTTTTTGTTAACACGTTTTTCGCAGTCAAGGTCCCTGGACTTCTGATTTTTCTTCGGCTGGGCTAGAATTTTCGGTGAGTCCAAGGTCTTTGTTAAGCACTCGCTACTAATGGCTAACAATTGTTAAGCGGGATGCAGACGATTATGGGGCACTAGCAGTTCTGGTTAACCGTGAATGTGAACGTTTCAAGTTACGCTGTTTACTGGATGACCAGTTTAAGTGTCTTATCTTTGTCAGTGCTTTACCGTCTCCACGCGACGCGGAAATTCGCACTTGGCTCTTTGCCAAATTAGATCAAGATCCAGATTTGACATTGAAGTCTCTTGTAGGCGAATGCAAACGGTTGATCACTGAAACACGACACCACTATGATTGAGCAAAGTCGCCCCATCGTTGTCGATACTGTTCATGCTGTGCAGAAAGCATGAAAGGCTGGCTCGAACACACCGTTCAACAGAGCGCCGAACAAGCCACCTACACCTTGTTGGTCATGTGGTGAATGGCATTTCGTACGATACTGTCCATTCAAGCGTCACATTTGTGATAAGTGCCATAAATGCGGCTACAAGGAAGACTTTTGTCATCAGTCCCGACCAAGAAAAGTGAAGCAATCCCACTGAAGGAAGAACTTCAGAAAGCCTGACGCGGAATCACTATCAGTGATTGCCACTTTTCGCAGCGATTCTAGAACACGCCGCCGATTTATCACTGTGATCATCAACGGAATCCTAACCAGGCTGCAGTTCGATAGGCATCAGACAACGATCATTTCCAAGAACACTTAAAAGCACTTAAGGAGTCCTAAGATGGTTGCTTCCAACAAAGTCGCCCACAACGCATCCGGTGAAGTGCTGAAGCTGGTCGGAGAAATAACTGGCAAAATTGCATTCAACGGAGTGGAACAGGCCGGAACCTGCTACTTGTCTAACCGACCAAACTTGAACCTCCTTGGATTTGACTGGATCGAATAGTTAAAACTGTTTGATGTTCCAATGAGTCAGATTTGCAATAGAGTCCAAACCGATCCAGTTCATACATCATTGTCGATAGAAGACATGACGAGAAAGCTAAAGCAGAAGTTTACTGCCTTGTTCGAAGATGGTCTCGGTCACTGCACTAAGTTCAAAGCAAAGTTGTGCCTTCGCGAATGAATCAATCCAGTCTTCAGAGCAAAAAGACGGGTACCGTATGCAGCCATTACAGCAGTTGATCAGGAGCTCGACCGACTAGAGCGAGCCGGTGTCATCACGCCAGTGAACTACTCTTCATGGGCTGCGCCAATCGTTGCCGTGAGAAAGCCGAACGCTAAAGTGCGTGTCTGCGCCGATTTTCGACTGGCCTAAATGCCGCACTGGACGACCATCAATACCCCTTCCGATACCAGGGATATCTTTGCCAAGCTGAATGGTGGGAAGTGTTTCGCCAAGCTCGACTTGTCCGATGCCTACCTCCAGGTCGAGGTTGATAAAGGCTCGAGAGTGCTTACCATCAACACTCATCGTGGTTTGTACCAGTACAACCGCCTCCCATTTGGAGTGAAAATAGCACCAGCCATCTTCCAGCAGATGATGGACACCATGCTCGCGGGAGTTTCTGGAGCCGTCGCGTACCTGGATGATATCATTTTAATGGATCGGACGGCGGAATAACTATTTGAGCGCCTCGCTGTAGTGCTTGAACGCATCCAGCCGTATGGTTTCCGTATCCGTGAAGACAAGTATACATTTTTACCCCAACCATCAAGTTCCTCAGCTTCATTTTCGCAAAAGACGATCGTCGCCCTGATCCAGAAAATATCCGAGCTATTCAAAAGATGCCCCGCCTGCGCACTTCCAATCGTGGCGTTCATTTTGTGGCCTAATCAGTCAGTGCAGCGCTTTTCTTCCCGAATTGCATCGCCTGCGTGTCCGCTGAACAAGTTGCTGAGCAAGGGCCAAGCCTGGAATTGAACGCCAGACTGCGTTCGAGAGGGTGAAGTCATTGCTGGCTTCAGACGTACTCCTGACTCGATTTGACCCATCCCGAGACATTGTCCTCGCCACAGACGCGTCGAGTCTAGGGATCGGTGCCGTAGTTTCCCATACGTTCTCAGATGGATCTCAGAAGCCGATCGCACATGCCGCCAGGACGCTGACAAAAGCCGAAAGAAACTACAGTCAGATCGAGTAGGAGGCATTGGCCGTAGTATTTGCTGTGAAGAAATTTCAAAAAATGCTGTATGGTCGCCGTTTCAAAGCCTTGACAGATCACAAGCTGCTGCTGGCCATTTTCAGCTCGAAGAAGGAAATTCCTGCCTACACAGCCAATCGACTCCAACGATGAGCACTCACCTTGCCGGGCTATGATTATGAATTCCTTTATCAGTCAACGGTTTCGATGGGCCAGGCAGATACGTTGTCATGCAGCAAGAACACGACGACACCATCATAGCCTCAGTTGAGACCGAACCTGATGTCAAACTCCTGGTGAACGGGGCAATACATGGTCTGCCAGTTACGGCCGAAGCTTGGCGGGCCGAAACGCTTCGAGATCCAATCCTGAAGAAGGTTACACACATCCACAGAACCAGCTGGCCACGTTCGTGTTCATCTTCCGAAATGCAGCAATCCTATCACCGAAGACATTCGATCTCCATTGTGAACGATTGCGTCATGTTTTCAGGGAGAGTAGTCATCCCACAGGCGTTGTAAGAAAGTGTGTTGCGGCAGTTCCATGCAGGACATCCAGGGCTCAACCGAATGAAAGCGCTTGTGCGAAGTTATGTGTATTGGCCGTTTATGGACAGACAACTGGAGCAGTTAGCTAAAAGTTGTAGCAACTGCACCACAGCTTCAAGGGCACCGCCGAAGACTGAATTCCACTCGTGACCTAAACCAACTAAATCTTGGAGCCGTGTTCATGTCGATTTTGAAAGTCTAATCAATGGCCAGAACTTTCTCATAGTGGTCGACGCTTACAGCAAGTGCCCCGAAGTGTCCCTCATGAGCAGCACGAAACCCAGCGCAACAGTCTCGAGGTTGCGACAAATCTTCAGCAGGTTCGGCTGTCCTGAAACATTGGTGAAGGACAATGAAGCACAGTTTACTTCGACCACACTCACGGAGTTCTGCAAACAATGCACCATCATACAGGTGCGGTCTCCACTATCCCACCCACAATCGAACGGCCAAGCGGAGAGATTTGTGGGTACATTCAAACGCGCTCTTCTCAAATCAAGGAGGGAGACATAGAGGAGGTGATTGACCGCTTCCTTTTTCTGCACCCAACTACACAAAGTCCACAAACGCGGGGTGGAATATCACCAGCAGTGGCAATGATGAAGAGAAAGCTTCGCATGCAATTTGATGCAGTTCGGCCGTCCTCAGGATCCACAGCTGATGAAAGGAACCTCAAGATGAAATGTGACTAATCGGCGGTACGGTGCTAAGCGACGTTCCTTTAAACCGGGTCAGCCAGTAGTTGCACGTGATTACCGGGAAGGACACACAAACTGGACGCCAGGCACGATCCATGGCAAGCGCGGGAACGTCATTTACAACCTGCTGGTTGCAACGCAGGTGTGGGTACGCCACGCAAATCAACCGCGACCAAGACTGTGTCAGCCACAAGCAACAGAATCCGCCGAGCTTCCATTTGACCTGTTGACGGACAGCTTCAACTTTCCTAAACAGCCCGTCGAAGAACCCTGTCATCAGACGAATGATACCAGACCGCATAGCACGGAACTTGAATCCAGAACACTACAGCCAAGGCGATGGACCGGTAGGCGTAGAACCCCTTCCAGGAGGCTTTAGGTCAATCCCAGGCTAGCATCATACACTGCGATAGTCGTTTCAGGGGAGGTATCTGGGAAAGGGTAAAAACATAAAGAAAAACCCATTATTTTAGCAATTACTCGATTATCTTCGGTCGTGCATTTATTTTAAAGATTCCGAATCCTTCCATTCCTTCACGCGATCGCCAAAATACGGAGTTTTGGCAGTGAGGCTGCTAATTTTACCAGCTGACCTTCGTTTTCTTGAGGTTGAAGGTCATTGAGCCCCTTATATATTTGGCCTAGGTCTGGATTAGTTTTTACAGCGTTTTTGTTAACACTTTTTTCGCGGTCAAGGTCTTTTGACCTTTGCTTTTTTTCGGCTGGGCTGGAATTTTTGCAGAGAAATTTTTTGGTTGTTTAATTCAGAAAAGCGAGAAAACGTGAGGATCTAACACCTGTCGCACGGGCTATTTTAAAGGCATTCGATGGATACATTTGATGACGAGTCCTCACACAGTGCTTTATGTTGGAGGAGGCAAGGTTCCATTTTAGCATAATAGTCTTGTTACCCTATTGATTGTTTTAATCAATTTGTAGGGTATTCGGTCGTCATTTGAACCAGTCAACGATTAGTCCTACCAATGTAAACATCGCAACTTCAGGTGAACGTGAGAGGCTAGACTGCGGGGATGGTGGTGGTAGAGAAGGCTCATCCAGGCGGTTACCTAAGTGCGTCTTGATACATAGCTAAGCTTGTGGCAAATTTTGTCTATAATATAGTCGTCTTTGAACGGAAAGAGCAAATAAACTTTTTCTCCGCCGCGTGCACCAGTAGGCTTACTTTTAATGATCTTCTATGGATCTTGATATACTTTCCCAGATACCCAATAGACATTTTTATCTCCATGCTACAAATTCTATGAGCTCTATTAATAAGAACTTGTATAGAACTGGAGCAAAGCTAAACAAATGGGTGTTACTCGCTCCAGGTTGCTTTACGGTGGACAGTGTCTTGAGGTGTAACATCGTCTCTCATATTGATAAATACATCCAGGACCTTGGGCCGCCCTCGTGTTCCATCTCTTGTGCTACTGAAAGATTAGGGCTCAAAGAGTGGTTCCATCCAGTGTGCAGCGGGCAACGGCCCAGCCACCGCCTTGTGTACGTCTGGTACGTGTGATTCCCCACATAGAGAGACAGGAATGCTGCTGCTGTGCATGTTGAAGAAGTGTGGGCCGGCCCCGTTGATGAAATGTGGTTCCCATCCACATGCCTGCCGGTCTTATCTCTTCGCGTTTACATTGGATATTGAGTGTGTGGTGTTGCAGCGCAAGTCACCCATGGTCCCTCTGTAGGCACAGGCGTCCTGTGACTGTTTTATGGGGAGGCCAGTGACAGACAAATCCGGGCCCGAATGCCGCCAACCAACCTTATCCTTTGGTAATGTTTTAACGAATCGAGATAGATGCGGTCCGCTCGAATGCATTCTTCATAACTGTGTCATTGCATTCCACAGTTGAAATGCATGGAAACGACGATAGTCGATCCATCGCTCTTGCAAAGTTAGCTGAGAAATTTTTTTAAGTAATTCGTAATATGGGGTTCCTTGCAACCATTTACTCAAAGCAGCAATAGGATAACATTTCGGTTAATCTTCTCAGTTATAAGCTCAAACGAATTTACATACGTAGAAAACAAGTTCGTGAATAAGTTGCAACTAAATAACCAAGATCACGGCAATCTAACTGATTGTCTCAATTGTTTTTGTACGCTCAGCGCTGGTCGATTCTCCGTTATTAAGAGCGTCTCACTAATTACTAACGGTTTCGGATTCCTGTCGCACAGGAACCGTCTTTGCTCTATCGCGACCCAGTTTACTGTACTGAGGTGCACTTCTCAGCCTTTCCACTATCACTCACATTGGTTTGGTGAATGAAAATAAGCAAGAATTTCAAACCTTCCTGCTGGTGGCTAGAACACAATCAATTCCTTATTATTTGCATTCCAATGTTTCCTGTGTCATGTTGAAGACTCCCACCATTTTTGGTCAGTATGGGAGTACGAGGTCTTTCAGCGATAGCACTGGTCATTCTGCTCCTTGGGTCTTTCTTGCACAATAGCTAGTTATTGATATTCTGGTACTCTGCTCTCTACAGGGGTCATTTGTCATTACACTATCGATCTCATTAATTACGAAGTGTAAGCATCTGGTCACTCTGCTTCAGTCATTGTTAGTTATAACTTGGTACCCAAAGCGTTCCCATATCCCTAATCGCCTGCTCAAATAAATCGTGCTCCGCTCCCGGGTCACTCGAAGAGAACAGTCGTCTGCGTCCGCATGTGAGTGTATGTTCACTTAAACACAGTAATGTTTTTGGGAAAGATAGGATTTAGAGGTATAGCGAGATCAACGAACAAAAATCAATATCCTTTCCCACCCTCCCTGATCAGAGCTGAGCTCAACCACGTTGGCCTGAACTGTGTTCATTCACACTCGCTTGTAGTTAGTCACAAGTTAATTTCGACTTAGGATCACTCTAGCCCCAACGTAATATTCAAGTTAGTTCAAAATGTGTATTATACACTCATATAGGTGTAGGTTTCATACTTTCTACTATCAGTACGGATATGCTAACGCAGCATCAATGAAGTAATACAACTTGACAAGGAATACGAAGAAAGCGTGCATTTTCTTTCGGGTATACGGTCGCACGTCGATTAGTAAGTATAACAAAATGACTGGATGGAGTTGCGACACAATAATGTATGAGAATTTCGATCGAGTAGAAGAACTATTTGCTTTACCGGTAAGATTCGTGTGTAGTGTGCGAGAAGGGTAACTTAGAAAACGTGGATTGAAAAGTTCCTAAAGGTTTCGAAGTGTTTACTAATGATAAAATCAGCAAGGAGTTTCTGCACTCTCCAGATAATCGGGTACTAAATTCTGGTGGGGATGCAAACAGAATATAATTCTTTTGATGATGTACGGGTAGGATAGTAGTTAAGTGTTATAGTCAGTGATGAACACGTGCAGCTATTGACTACAGCATCAAAGCGCCACGTAGGGAAAGCATTATAAGCCTGGGGTGAAAAGTTTCTGGAGTATATCGTGATCAAACTAAATTGAGACAAAGCACAGATGTTTCACAGCCGCCCAATGGATGGCAGGTTATTAGAACGATAGAATCGAATATTAGGTCACAGCACTTGGAACGGTTCAGGCTAAGCGGCCCGAAGCTCGACAAATTCACGAGTTCGCCTAATCTTCGTTGAAGCTTGGTATGTTTCCCCAATGTTCGAGCCTATACACTTTAGAACAACGTCCTCGGCGCATTTACATGATGTAGATGGGATTTCGACGAAACGGGAAAATAAAAACAGCAGTTGGCTGGGAGTACAGAATACAGCTTAAATATTTGAACTGTGTTCGATTTGTAAAACAGCCACGCGCTCTGGACTACATGTATTCGGGTGAGCTGTATTTTCTTCCCAAAACTGAGCATTCATGATCTACGTAGAAATTCGTCACATCTAGACTCACTCAGTTAGCCATCATACGCCCGAAAATGCACTGTGCGACCATTTCATCCTTTCGGGAGTCGTCAGCAGTGCGCATTCCCTCGGACCCTGGTAGGGTTCGAGCCCGCAACGCTTAATTGCACACTTTCGTTATTTTAATTTTGGGTTTCCCTCTTCATCCATGTAGACTAAAACATTTACCCGATAAGAGTCCAGATTGCTTTCTCTTTTACCGCAGTACACCAGTTTTGTTTTCAATAGCTTTGTGGTTACGCTCTATGGAGCACTCTAACTATGAGATCAGTATCCCTCTACCATCTACGGCTAATCGCTGTCGAGTACAGGTTATGCCGTGGTTTTTGTGTCCCCCAACCCACTGGCGTCGCGGCTCACCAAAACCAAGACATCTCTCAGTTTACCACAACTTGTCACCATGCTGTTCAGTAATCATCTATTTTCCACCCTGCATTGTTATCACACAAAGCGTTATTTCCTGCGTATCCGCTCTACTGCCTAGATTTTACATGTTTTGTCTACCCCAATACAGTTACGATCAAACCTCCGGACTTGACTGCCACGAACCTCAGCACTATGAAACCATCTACGCTCTTTTGTCAACACGCAGTGCCATGTTTCGAGACAAATTCTCACAGCGTCTGTGTGACAAGCTAACTGATCTGCAGAAGCCGCTTCAATCTGATCTTGATTGATCTGCACAGGATCAAGACATAGACTAGTTTTCTTACTTCCGAACTGTTCCTATTGTTGTTGTACAGTGCACGTTCACACATACTACTCACTTTGTATGTCCTCACGACACTCCCTTGTGAAGGCCCTGGACCTTTCACTTACCTGTGTGCGTGCGTATCTGTTTGATTTTTGGCCGCGCCCTCAGTGTATATATCGTGTCTTATACATGCATATTTGTCTGACATACGTCTCGTGTTTGTTCAGTCACCTTTATATTCGATTGTGAACGCTTGAGTAGTGCCAGATCCTCATTTTAGTGAACGTATTTTACTTATGACGGCGTTTGTCCTATTGTTATTTACCACTTCGACAGCTGGTGCTCACCGGATGACCTCAATCGATTATGCACGTGATTAGTTCAATCGTGCCTGTGATCGACACATCAATATCCTTACAGAACAGGTGCATTCACCGGGCCGATATCGAACAATATCAGAGAGTGAAGTGCCTTTGAATTCTTCCTATGTCCGCTCTCACCAACTGCACCTTGAAAATTGTATCCGCGTGGCCACAAACTACGCATGAGATGTGACACAGATGTCCAAGTGAATCGCTTATTGGAAAACAAATAGCGCTCAGGAAACCGCTTCGGAGTCATGCTCATTGCTTCAACTTATGGTCCGCAGAACAGCATTATGAAACCACATTGAAACATCAGCTGTCTCTAAGTAGATGAATTAACCGGGAGCAGATTTGAATCAGTTCTAATGTGTGGTGAAGAGGAACTTTAGGAGACAAGGACCCTATCTGGCGATGCCTCACAGAATGCGCGCATCTCCGAAACGATGTCATACGTATTGTTCGGAATTCCATGTCATTACACGTGAACCATGGTTCACTGCTATCGACAGCAGCTTAGTGTTGCTCCAGCCCGTTGATGTACGGACGCAAGAAAGACCAAATTGATTGCAAAAATTAAACAACCGTTTCATTTTTTGCATCAAATCTTCCTTTCTTTTTTATTTTTCATTATCATCTGGATATTTACTTGGGTGGCGGCAACTTATCGGCACCTTGTTATGTAAAGCATCACAGCTGGCAGTGGTGGTAATGATTTATTCCCAAGCCCGCTAGTTTTGACCCCGGGCAGAACATCTCGTCAGAATTGTTGTATCACAACTGTTCCAGTAATCGAATGAACACACTGAGAACGTTAATAATAATACTAATAATAATGCGTATATTTCTCAATGAGAGAAACTGCGTCTATGGCGGCACAGATCAATTTGTACAGAAGCATCCATGCTTTTTTATGGGTGACATGCATAGGTGGAGTATTGCGATATTCATTCATTATACACGTCAGCCAGAGGTGGGAAACACCTCAGCTACTGTGCCGCAATACATAAAGGAAAATAAACACAACAGTTGCATGCCAGCTGAGCTAACAACAACGGATAGGCATCATTCTGTTGTACGCTATGAAATGAGGTCGTAGGTGGAGGGGAAAGCTAAAAGGGATGGGGAGGGACAAAGAAACTCACAACAGGAACGCCACTGAGGTCGGCTCCTTGCCATGTCAGCAAGTGTATCCAGCCAAACGTGTTCACCGTCTTTTGGACCCCAACCAGGGAGCCGTGAAGCTCCAACGTAGGCCAGCTCAGAAGTGAGGGCCTTCATTCCTCTCGACCAAGTCATCGCTTGGCCGCCCCTCCTCTTCTTCCAACCACATCCCCGGTGAGCAAATAACGCACGCCGTGGAAGTCGGTGGGCTGGCATGCGCAACACGTGGCCCAGCCATCGGAGCCTGGTGCGTGAAATGACGGTTCTCAGCGGTTCAGATCCTTTTTCTGTGCCGTAAACAAGGCGTCGAACACGCTCGTTACTCACGCGATGTTCCCGCCAGATGTAAGCCAAACTGCGAAGGCACCGATGGTCGAACGTAACTAGCCTCTTCATGTCTGCTGATCTTAGGGGCCAGGTTTCGCAACCGTTCAGTAGGGTCTAACGTACCGCTGCATTGTACACTCTACCCTTCAGGGCGAGAGTAATGTCGCGCCGCCGTCATAGGTGGCGAAGGTTAGCAGAAGCACTCCGAGCTTTTCCTATACGGTTCGTGATCTCATCTTCGATCCCACCGACGCTGATACAACTTCCCAGGTAGTTGAATTTCTGAACGACTTCTAGTTGATCCCCACCAATGGTCAGCGCAGGAGGCGATCCCTGCCAATCTTGGAGGAACGCTTTGCATTTCAATGGTGCAAAGCGAAGCCCGAAGCGGCTGACAGCCAGTGCTAATCTGTCCAGCGCGGCTTGGCACGTTTGTGAGCTGTCACAGATGAGAGCAATGTCGTCTGCATACTCCAAGTCAAGAAGTCGTCCTCCTGGGAGTAGTTCCACACCTTCCAAGTCATGTCCTGTAAATGCAATCTCCATGACTTCCTCAACAGCGAAGTTGAATAGGAAAGGTGACAGCGGGCATCCTTGTCTCACACTGCTGGAAATATTGAGGGGTGGCGACAGCTTTCCGTAAGCCCTCACTGCCCGTGCTACGCGCGTATACTGATCGGATAATATTTACATATTTCTCGGGCACACTTTTCCTGAGTAGACAATTCCAAAGGGCCCATCGATCAACCGAATCGAATGCACCTTTGATGTCGAGGAACACGACTACGGTGGGCCGCCAATATGTGTGACGGTGTTCTAAGAACACGCAAGGTGAAGATGTGGTCGATGCAGCCACGACCCCGACGAAACCCGGCTTGATCCTCACGAATCTGGCTTTCACGGGCGCCAGTTAGTCTGTGAAGAATTGTGGAGGCGATGGAAATCAGACTGATTCCTCTATGGTTGCCGCATTCCGAACGCGAGCAGCCTTTGAAAATGGGAACAGTAACGGAGCGGCTCCAGTCGGTAAGGACAGTCTCCTGCTCCCACAGTTTCAGTAGTAATTCATGTAAATCATCAACAAAGTAGAACCTCCGAATTTGAAAGGAGCCGGAGGAAGATCGTCTAGTCCCGCGGCTTTGTTCAACTTCAACAGTCCGATCTCACGTTCGACTTCTAAACGAGAGGGTGGATCCAAAGGGACAGCCCACGGAGCAGGGCGATCACTGGTCGGCGAAGAATCGAACAATTCTAGCCGATTAAATTGTTTTTCAAAATGCTCAGCCCAACACTCCAAACGCTTTGACAAATTGTGGATAGGCTGCCCACTCTCGTCACGTATAGTTTTACTGACACCAGGTTTGCTGCTGCCCGTTTCCCGTATCAGACGGAATAACTTACGATGGTTGCCATGGGCAGCGGCCACTTCCATCTCTGACGCAAGATGAGACCACCAAGTTTCACGGTCTTTCTTCAGGCTAGCACGGAGTCTTGCCCGGAGCTCTTTGCTAGTTTCATTGTGTTCGCTTCCAGCCGGGATATGCCAGCAAGCGTCGATATGTCCGCGAGACCGCGAAGAGACCCAATATCCATGTTGGCTATTAGACATACCACATAAGGATTTGCCTGCTGCTAGTAAGGTCTGGTGAATATGAGACCAGTGACCATCAATTGTCTCCAGTGAGCGATTGCTCAACTTACATGTCAGCGTACTTTGATACGCATTCAGAACAACTGGCTTTGTCAGTTGGCTGGTGTCAATGCGCTCACAGCGTCGTCGTGGGCGTCCGCGGAAATGCATCCGCATGCTAGCACATACAAGTGCATGATCGGTGTCCACACTTGTGCTCCAAATCAAGCGACAGTTCTGGACGCAGCCTCTCCATCGGTAACTGATAGCAGTGTGATCGATCTGCGTCCAAGGCTGGTTTGAGGCGGGTGCGGTGTCGGAAGTTAGTGCTCGCAAGAAATAAGCGGGCATCTTCACACAAATGAAGTAACCGCTCACCGTTATCATTACGGCAGCCTACACCATGTTGGCCGCCCAGATGCATTTCAGCAGTGGACAACTTTCCAAATTGTGCGTTCAGATCCCCCGCCAGCACAACAGTGTCCGTGCTTCTTCTGTGGCGAAGGAGCTGGGTCAGTTGGCGGTAAAAGTCGTTTTTTACCGAATCATGGCTACAGTTTGTGGGCGCGTAGGCAGTGATGATGAATCGACACCTATTTGTGCTGCGCGACTTCGAAGCTTTGAACGAGCCAGCCAATCGGACCGCACACAAGCGACTACTGATTGGAATCCAATCAACCAGAATAGCTTCAGCCCGCTGACTCAGGGCAATGCCAACACCAGCTTGGCCGGTGTTCGAAGCTGCATCGTCACCTGATAGGCGCAGTGGGAAAATACTACTTACGTCACCTGAAGGGGATCGCAGAGTGAGCACAGAGCTCGAGTCTTGCAGGCGGATCTCTGATAAGCAGCAGGTATCGATCGAGAGGGTCTCCAATGTTCGGGCAAGTGCTACCTGTTGACTGATCTGCAGTAATGTGCGTACATTGAGGCATGCCAATCTGAAGGAGGATCGAGGGCTCCAAATGGAAGCCGATGAACTGGAATGGACCGCTTGTTTGGGCATGGGCTTGTCGACAGGAGAGGAATGACGCTCCGCGTTCACATGTGAGTTGAAATTAGAAGATAAATGTCTAGCAGAGCATGTGGGAGGGCCAAGAATTGCGGGTTGAAAACTGGGGGGGATAAAAGTGAAGTTGGTACGGGACGGTAAGTGTGAAAAAGCGTAAGAGGGGGAATAAGATGACGGGATGGCATGAGCAGTAGCATCCAAACCCCTATCCACCCTGCTCGATGCAGCAGATAGGCCACCGTTGATTATCCTCTGTGGTGGCCAGAACATCAAGAAATTGTTTGACGTAGGATTCATAATATTGCGTGGGCAGGATACTGTCAGGTTGCCCAGGCCTAGACAGGAGAACGATTAGGGTTCTCAACCAAAGCCTTTGGTTCAAAAAACCTGACCGCAAGGCAGCGGGTTTGGCGTTGGGCTACAAGGGGTCCGTTTTAAGGAATAAGGAGCCACTCTCATTACAACCCCCAAACTGGAGGACCAAGAGGCTGAGTTTGTCTGGCCTCTAATCATTGACCAATCTGGTATGAGTGACTCTGAAGGTAACAAAGCACCACCCAGCGTAGCTCAATAGATCGCTGAGGCACAAAACCATCGCACCACGGTAAGGTCCAGCCTCATTGCGATGGATATGCGTTTTATGTATTAGCATTCTGCGGATGGTTGAGGCCAAATCCTAGTTATGAAAACATTGGTGTTTATGTCTTTGGGCCCCTCTTGGAATAGCTGATCGAGCGATTTTTCCCATTTGAATATAGAGCTTATGTTAGTTAGATCAAGGTAATTGGCGTGCCTGCTACTACATCTTGTCACATGACCTGAGTGTTATTGGTAATTTATTCCACTGATAGCTGTATCTTACCAGGAAGAAATTAGAGCGAATGTTCATTCTAGCTTTCCGTGTATTCAACGTAAAACCTTTGTTGCGAAGCGCTCAAGTTGAACAATGTTATAAATTGAGTGTAGGCAATTTGGAATAGGTCTTTTTGTGTAACATGTTGAAAAGCAACAACAAGTTGTGCTTCAGTCATCGAATCCATAGTGGTTCGAGACGAAGTTCATTGCGACGTTCTCAATAACTCCTAGCAGTGCTTACCAATCAGATGTTTAGTTACTGATATCTGCAGGTGCTCCACAGCAATTCTGTCACTCTTTCTCATATTGCTGTATATTATGCTGCAGCATTCGAGGATGGGGCGAGTGAGTAGCTTGAAAAGCTCAACTAGCACGAGTAGTGTTTATTTTGTTTGATATATTGAACATAAACTGTCTGACACGTGCTGCTTGGTATTGGGCTTGTTCGGAGAAATTGAAGGTAAACGTGTACCTAATGCCAAGATCTCGAGTGGTTAACTGTGTAGGAACTAGTTCATTGTTTAGGGTGATAGATCCTTTGGGAAGCAGAAGCCATAAAACATGATGCCTGATTTCTTAGCCCAGAGGTTCACCACATGTGTGCAGCACCATGACGCAAGGGATGTAAACCATCTTGAATGAGCAGTAATGTCCGGTGAAGCACGTCATGCTGAAACTCATAGACTAGTTTGATATCGTCAGCAAATAAAAGTGCTGAACCTTGTTTTACAGATGTGGTGATGTCATCGATGGAGCGCAGAAAGAGTCAGGGACCGAGCAAACTACCATGAATGACTCCACTGGTGAATGAGCTTGGGGAAGAGCGATAATCACCTAAAGTGACTGGCTGATGACGATCAGTTCAGGTATGACGACAGCCAACCTAGTAAAGGGTTCCGGATCCCAAAGTTCTCCAATTTTTGTAACAGTCGCTTGTGCAGTACTCGGTCGAACGCTTGGTGTATGTCAAGAAACAAGATTACTACCGCATAGCCGGAATCGATTGATTCTTAAATGTGATTAAAGTAATGCAGTTGACAGGTGGTGCACGGTCGCTTATTGAGAAAACCATGTTGCGAAATAT